ACCTTTCTCCTGGTCTAGCCCTCTCCCCTTTCTTCTCCCCATACCTCAAGCTTACTCTACCTATCCAGATCCCAGATTCTAGATGAATTAGAATATCTTTTAAAAACCAGAAATGTGAATCAGCTAATATTTATTAACTCTCTATGAATCAGGTATTTGGGAGTGGCACGGTTGGGTGGTTGTGGCCTAGGCTGTCTCATGGGGCTACTGCCAAGATGTCATCCAGGATGCAATCGCCTAAAGGCTCATCTGAGATGGAGGGCCCACTGCTGAAATGGCTGTTGGCAGGAGGCCTTGCTGCCTTCTACATAAATCCTTTGTGAGGACTGCTTGGATGTTCTTACAGCACAATAGCTGGCTTCCCCCAAACAGGTGATAAGGCAGACAGACCAGAGGCTGTAGAGGAAAGACCATGAAAATCACAGTAAAGTACTTTATGTCTCTTCTTCTGGGAACATGTTACAGTGTTTCAGGTCCTAGAAGCAGAGCTTGAGATGAGGATTTAAAGTGATTTGTGAAGGGAGTCTGTTTTAAGAAAAAACCCATAAGGCAGAGAGTAAAGCAAAGATCAGAAGGGGAAGAGCAAAGCAATGGTGGGGTCTAGCTTTGGCCTTATCACTAGAGGAGGATTTAGAGGAGAATTCTGGTACATATATTGTATCATAGAGTTACCTCCCCCTTAGAGGCAAGGAAGTGGTTTTTTTTATATTTTTCAAATCAGTCATTGTCTGTGTGCTCTTGGGGTCAGAGTTGGATGGAAGTCTCCCATCAGTAGGAGATGGCTCTTTAGAGAAGAAAGTGGATACACGTCTGGAGTAGCCATCACCTGCTCAGCTGAAGAATGGATGTGCCAGCCAGGTAAAGGCAGTCTTAGTGATGACACCACAACACTCATGATAACTGACTTCCTCCTGCATATGTCCCACTTACCACGGTCCCAACAATTCAGAGGTACAGAGGAAACACCTTGTAATTGAAGAAATGAATGTACAAAAATGCTTAGCCTCCCTGGGTCTGTGCCCAATTCTAGGAAGCCCACTGAGGAGGGGCTGTATTGTCCCATCAACAATGGGAATGGACAAAGTCATAATGCAATGGCTGTAGAAATCAATGTGGAGAGTCCTCAAAAGGTGAGGATTGGAGGTTTCATTCAATGCAGCTATTCCCTTCTGGGTATCTTCCCAGAAGAATTAAAAGCATTGTACCACAGCGATATATGTGCACTCATGTTTATAACAGTACAATTCATTTTAATAGCTAAATTGTGGAAGCAACCCAAATGCTCATCAACTGAGAAATAAATAAAAAGATGTGGTGTCTTTATACAATAGACTACTACTCATCTATAAAGAAGGATAAACTTTAGACTTTGATAGGTAAATGGATGCAACTTAAGACCAGGCTCATAAGTGTAATAAGACTCACATGTGTAAGCATTCTATTGTCTTCCTGGTGTGAGAAATGGATTTTTTGTGCTAGGGATCAAACTCAGGCCCTTGTGCTTGCCAGGCAGGTTCTTGTGCCACTGAGCTATATGCATAGCTCAAGAAATTCATAGTCTAAATAAGGTCTAGGATATACAATAGCTTTTGCGAAATGGGAAGAAATTATTTAAAAGGAAAATGGAACTAGGTGGGGGGACAGGGGAAAGTAAGGAAGTGAAATGGGAGAAAAATGCAAGGTAGCTATATTATTCATGTCTCTTATTTCATTAAAAAGAAAAGTTCATACTAATATTGTTTGGATATTTTTTATGCCCATATCTTGTACTCTGAGGAGCTACTTTGAAGATAACAGTATGCAGTGTATTAACTACTGTTAATCTCCTATTATTTTGTTGTGAAATTCCTTTTTTCAATAAAACTTAAAAAAAACAGTTCTCCACATCTTAAGGGGTAGCACCATTTATGTCTATATGACCTATCCAGGCCCTTTCATTGCAAACTTAGAATGGAAATGCATTTATCATTTGTGATAGGGAAGCATTAACTTTATATACACAATAGAAATATATTTGTATTCTCAGCTTGATTTTTAGTGAGCTTTTCACTAAAGGTACATGTTCTTGGCTTGTCACATCCTTGCTGGGATGTGTGGTGAGAGATGGAGCCTTGAAGGCAATCCAGGCAGCAGTAGTCATACTCTAAAAGTCAGAAGAAATAGCAGAGGAAGCTTCTGGTTTGTTCTGCTTTATAGCTACTAAACTTAACATCAACCATGCATCCTTTTCTTGAAAGAAGTGAGAGAGCTTATTGTAGAGATGGACTTTTGTATGTCTAAGTCTCATCTTTAGTTTTTCTTAACGTAGCACTTGTTTTCCTTCCCATTCCTGTTTCCTGTCTTAAATTTTTTTCTTAGTGCATGTTAGCAGTACTTAATGAATACATTCAAATGAGAAGTTAATGCATGTACATAATACATCTTAATTCTTTTTTCATCTCCTTTCTCTTCCTTTCTACCCTCAACTCCCCGCCCTTTTGCAATCTAATTCACTAAATATGAATTATTTCAGAGAGAAAACAGACTGGGACCAGTAGAAATATAAGATCTAGTATATGTTTCATTGGAGATCTAGAAGAGAAGGGACAGAGCTAAAAAATGCATTTGAAGAAATAATAGCTGAAAAATCCCCCAAATTTGGCAAAAGACATATAAACCTATAGATTCAAGACACTGAAAAAAATCCAGATAGGCTAAATTATAAGCAAACTTTTGACAATTAAGAAAAAGTTCTTGAAATTATTGAAAGAGAATTGAAAAGATGTCAATACTCATATGTAGTTTGGTTTAGTCCATGACTAAATGGAGGATTGATACCAATAAAACATGGAAGATATTTGGTCCATTTGTCAGGTAACATTTTATATCACTGGTTAATAGTAGCTGAAAGCAAAGTACTCAAACACAACTCAGGGAAACAGTGAGTCATGTGTCACCCTGTGTCCTTTCCCTTGGCTGTTTGCTGTGTCTTGAAGTGCATTCCCTGTCAGTCTTTGTGCATTTAGCCATTGATGCCTACATTCAGCACCTCAGACTTTCTGATTACCTCTTTCACTATGTGCCTCCTTTCTTTTTATAGCTAAAGAGCTGTTTTTACCAGAGCATTTCTTTAATAGAACTTTAACATTTGAATGATTACAATGATTTTCTCTTGAAGACTTGGGTACAGGGAAGGTTTTTCTAAATAGAACCTCAACTGCACAAGAAAGAGCATCAAGAATTGATGAGTGAAATATCAACTTAAAAATCTTCTGCACAGTAAAGGAAATAATAGAGTGAAGAAACAACCTGTAGAATGCAAAAAAAGTTTTCCTAGCTACTCCTCTGACAGAGGACTATTATGTAGAATTTACGAAGAACTTTAAAAAGTCTATTCCCAAATAAAAGACCCAATCTAAAAATGGGCAACTGAAATGAACCAGTACATTGCAGAGGAAGTACAAATGGCCAAAAATACATGAAAAAAATGCTTGATATCTCTGGCCATCAAAGAAATGTGAATTAAACATTGATATTCCGTCTTACTACACAAAGAATGGCTGTCATCAAGAAATAAAAAACAAATGCTATAATGCTGGGGAGGCTACAGGGAAAAAAGGCACCCTTTTATATTGTTGTTTGGATTATAAACTGGTATAACCATTAGGGAAATCAGAATGGGAATTTCTCAAAAACTGAAAGTAGGAATTCCATTCAACAGACCTACTCCCTTTCTCAGTGTCTTCCCCAAAGAGTTATACCACAGTGATAGATGCATACGTTTATACAGCATGACTCATAATAGTTAAATCATAGAAGCAGCCTATATGTCCGTTAACAGATGAATGGATAAAAAATGGGATATTTATATCCATTGGAATACTACTATGTCATAAAGGATCGATATGAGTCATCTCTAGGAAAATGGATGTACCTTGAGACCATAATGTTAAGTGAAATAAATCAGACACACCAGCTTAAATATCATATAACTTCTCTTCTCTTATATAACCAAAAAGTATAAATATTTTTTAAAAATAGATAAAAGGAAAGATAAATAATAGGAAACAGAGAGAAATAGATTTCTTTCCTTTTTTTTTGCAAAAGAGCAGGGAGTTGAGGGTGGGAGTGAAGGGAAAGGAGATAAAACAAGAATTAAGATGTGTTATGTACATATATTAACTTCTTACTTGAATGTATTCATTAAGTACTGCTAACATGAATTAAGAAAAATTTTAAGACAGGAAACAAGAGTGGGGAGATCTTTTGCAAATGATAAGGGTATCTAGAGATGGAGGCAGGGGAAAGGGAATAAAAAGAATAAAGATATGATAAGTACATGTACTGTACCACTCCCTATGATGAGTGTAAACTCTATGTACTGCAAACATGCACTAATAAACATAAAAAAAATAAAAATTACATTTTTATGATGATCATTTTCTTAGTGCTCCAATTAAAGTCATAAATTCTTTCCCAACCACCTTTTCCACAATAGGCTCTGGTATTTCCAGAGTTTGATTTTATAGTGTTAGTCGTTCCAGTTAATGGTTCCAGTTAATACCAAACTGGTATAACCATTATGGAAATCAGAATGGGAATTTCTCAAAAATTGAAAGTAGAAATTCCATTCAACATAGCTACTCCCTTTCTCAGTGTCTTCCCAAAGAGTTATACCACAGTGATAGATGCATATCTATGTTTATACAGCATGACACATAATAGTTAAATCATGGAAGCAGCCTATATGTCTTTCTTTTTTCATACAATTGAAAATGTATGCTCAATTATAGCAGTAATTCCCATAACTCCTTTTCCCAAGATTGAACAATACTGAAAAGAAAGGTCGTAGGGAAGAGCAGGGTCTAGGGAAGGTTTTCTCCAAGGATCAGCAGATTTAACCATGCTTGGTCACACAACTTACCTAGCTCAGTTTTCCCTGAGTGACTAGTGTTCTTTGTTATGGTATTTGGGTGGTTGTATTTTTGTGTTAATATTATCTCTCTGATCTCTTGTGACAGTCTGAACAAGTGTCTGAGGCTGAACTGCCTTCACAGCTGAATAGAGCCCCTTCCCAGGCTGCAGAAAGTAGTCCGGCCAAGAAGGTAAGGATAGCATGAGGATGCTTTTATTGTGGCATTATGAGCCCTTCCCTGGGCTTCTTGTCTTTATTAGCAGACCTATGATTCTCAGGCTCCATATTCTGAAATGAATGTTAATAATCTCTATTACCACATGTTTTCTGTGAAGATCAGGATGTTGCAGTTCCTGACCTGTTGATGCTGCAGACAGTTCATATGTCTCTCTTCAACCCTAAACTAAACATGGTAGTCTTGCTTTTGGTGAGATCAGAAGTACCACAAGGAGGAATGGATGCTGTTAATGAAACTTCATATACCTGCTAAGCCTTTATGAGCACCTGCTGGAGGTGGAGCAGTCTCTTGTTCGTCTTTGTACTATGATTTAATCTTGTATCCTAGTGTTCTTACTTCTGTCCAACCCTGATGTTAACTCCCCTGGCATTTGCTGAACTAGCGCCACTCACCCCTTCTAACTTCTCACCCTTTTATTGTACTTTCCTGTTCTCTCCGAGGCTGTTTCCCCAAAACAGTGCTAAGTCTTGGGCTTAGGAGCACAGGTGGGGCAGGGTCCTCCAAGGAAGAAGGCCTCTGTCTCCTTCCTGAACACACAGTGCCTCTTTTCCTTGTCTTCATGTGGGAACCAGGAGTAGGACAATGTTGAGCATATGACTAAGAGTCACAAACTCCAAAACCTTACACATAGTCACAAATCCCCAAAACAGAGATCAGTTTTGTCTTCAATTAGAAAAGACCCATGGTGTTAGATGCCCAGGGTCAGTGTGAGTTTAAATGATAAGAAATAATAGATTGCTTTAAGGGCAGGGGAGTGGGAGGAGAGTGGGAGAAGGGAAGAGGGTAATGGAGCAAAATAAAAGAAAGGAAAGGAAAGGAAGCCAGGTATAGTAGCACAAACCTGTAATCCCAGCACTCTGGAGTCTGAGGCAAGATCAAAGATCAAAAGTTCTTTGAGCTCAGCCCAGGCAACTTACATAGTCATTAAGTCACCCTGTCTCAAATAGTAAATTAGAAAAGGGGCTGGGAATGTAGTTAAGTGTGAAGACCCTGGGTGCAGTCAACACTACTTCCAGAAGAAGGAAAGAAGACTGGATTCTGATGGAAAGATGGAAGGAAAATAGGAAAACCAGTATCTGACAGCTGCCTCCCTCCAGTTCTTATCAAGCCAGAAATCCGCCATATATCCTTAGGTGTGGAACTTGAGTAGGACAGTCTTCTGACCTTGAGGACAGAGCTAGAGGAACATAAGACACTGGAATGATGTATGGGGGAGCACTTAATTTGTTAAATTTCTTTTATTTTTCTTTTTTCTCTTTCTTTTTTTAAAAACTGTATTTAGTACAGGGTCTACAGGGCCTACAGGGTCTCACTATGTAGATTGGACTGGTAGTGATTCTTCTGTTTTCAGCTTCCAAAGTGCTGGGATTACAGGCAGGCACCACAACACCCAGTCTCAATTGCAGTCTCAGTGCACCCTGGGGGCAGGGCCGGCTCAGCAGGCCCCTGAACAAACCCAAGACCCCTGCGTCTGCCTAAGCAGGCACTGTAATGTGCTGAGCTATTTGGCCAGCCCTTTTTCCTTTTTAATCCACAGGATGTACCACATTCCCAGCCTCCATCAAAACCCATTCGTAGAAAATTCAGACCTGAAAATCAATCTGCGGAAAGCCAAGAGCCTTCTACTACTATAAGTGGGCCAGCTTCGGGAGCATCTGTGAAACCCCATCCCACAGTTCAAAAGTAAGTAACCTTCTTTTAACTCTGTGTGTGTGTGTGTGTGTGTGTGTGTGCGTGCGCGCACACACACACAGGCACATATGTGCTTCCATTTATACTCACACTTATAGAAGGGTTTGTGGTTATCTTTTTCTTTCTTTTCTTTTCTTTCTTTCTTTTTTTTTGTATTTTAGGGAAGGGTCTACAGGGTGTTCAGGGTCTCACTACTAGATCGGACTTGCAGTGATCTGCCTGTCTGCAGCCTCCCAAGAGCTGGGATTACAGGCGTGTGCCATCATGCTCAGTGTCAATTGCCATCTCAGCACACCCTGGGTGCAGGGCCAACAATTCAGGCCTAGGGATCAAACCCTCGGCCCCTGCTCCTGCAATTTGGCCAGCCCTTTGTGGTTATCCTACCTCTGTGCCGAGATTAGAGTCTCTCAGTCACATAAATGGCCTTATGCTGTAGGACTTGACCTAACCCAAAGGGCCAGGTAACTTCTATGCTGTGGTGTTTTGATTTGATTTAGTTCTTGCCCTTTTTCTCTCCTTCCTTTCCTCACTACACTTTCTATACTTCCTACACTTGTGTTGGCAGATTTTTCCAGGAAGAAGTACTATAAATAGCAGTTTTCCCTTTTTTCCTGTTTTATTTCACATTCTTTCTGGCAAATGGCTAAAGACCTAACTTTCAATAGAAGTGGTATGTGACTTTTTAAAGATCCTCAGAATGAACCCTCAGAAAGGGTTCCTAATTATCAGTATCTCAGCCCTGAATGGGCACAGGCAGGACTTCCGTATTGTCTGTCTCACCAGCTGGAACAAATATTGCAGAGCACAGGGATACTTGTAGGCATGCTTAGGGACTGAGACAACTGTGTTTATGAACAAATTATCCTTCACTAGAAGGCTTTGTCACTGCTTCAATTTTCCTACAGTGATATCCATCAAGAAATGTATTTTTCTGTCATGTTTACTGAGGCCATTGACTATGTTTCAGGCCTAGTGATAGGTCTCTATTAAGGACAAAATAGTCTAAATTTTCCTTCATGTTTTACCCTAGAATTTTACTTTAGTCTCAGGTTCATGTTAATTCTAGTCAGTCAGTGTTGGCTACAGTAGCCTACAAAATGAGTGGCAGGGTAGCCAGTGGATTTCACTTGGAGATCTTTTTTTCTGTTTTTGAAGTATTTCAGATTTATTGAAATATATTTTACATAACATCTAGTTCACCTTTTTAATATAAAATTTAGTGGTAGTTAGTATATTCACAAAGTCATATAACCATCACAACCATCTAATTTTAGAATATTTTGGTAATCCCCAGAAGAATCCCCATGCTAGGTGTGTCTGACATTTACCACTGCACGCAGCCACTGGGAAGCACTAATCTACGTTCTGTCTCCATTTTGTCTATTTGTCCATTTCATGTAAATGGCATGCAACATATGGTCCTTTGTATCTGCCTTCTTTCATTTATCCTGGTACTTTCAAGCTTCATTCATGTTGTAACGTATATGAGACCTAAGTTTTTATTGCTAAATAATATTCTATTTTATGGCTCTTGCACATTCTTTAACCATTCATCAATTAATGTACTTTGGTTTTTCTTCACTTTTTAGTTATTAATGTTGCTATATTATTTGTGTACATGTTTCTGTATAGATCTATGTTTTAATTTCTCTTGGATATACAGTATTCCTAGGAGTAGAATTGCTGGGCTATATGGTAAGTCTACGTTTAACATTTTGAGGCGTTGGTTAGATGTTATTATTGCCATCCTAATAAGTTTGGCTTTGATTTGCATTTTCCTAATGAATAATGATGGTGAGCATCTTTTATGTGCTTATTGGCCATTTATGTATATTTTTTAAACAAATGTCCATTCATATTTTTGACTACTTTCAATTGAGTTATTTATCTCTTCATTTTGATTTGCAATTTTCTTATATATTCTGGACATAACTTGCTTGTCAGAAATACAATTTGAAAATATTTTTCCCCATTCTGTGCATTGTCTTTTTACTTTCCTGATGGGATCATTTATAGCATAAAATGTTTACATTTTCTTTTTTTTTTTCTAGCAGTGACATGCTTTTATTCTACTAATCATAAATATAAAAAAGACAAATACAATATATTTCTAATTTAACACAATAATCTTGCAAGTACTTAGTGCAGTTAAGGAAAAGAGACATCCATTACTAAGTTACCAGACCAAATTATAAAAAAAAAAATCAATCAAGACAGATATTTTTTGTGATTATTTTTCTATGAAGACAATAATTTGACAAGTCATCCAAACTATGTTTCTTTTTTTTTAACATTTTATTTTATTTATTTATTTATTTATTTTTTTTTTCAAAGTTTTATTGACAAACAGATAGCAATGAGACAGTTTCAAATCATATCGGAAGGACAGTTTCAACAAATAATACACTGCATATATTCTTCTTAGTGGTTAATTGCTGTACAAGATGCGGACTTGTGATCCCATTTACAAACACCATTAGAACAAATCATTCTATTCATTAAGAGAATGCAACTATATATCTATCCCAACCTCTTTGAATACACAGATACAAAATGGACATTCATCGGTATACCCCATTTTTTCTAAGTTCCGTTATTGAATATTATAGGTGTGTAAACTCAGCAAAATATTCTAAAAGAGTCCAGTAGCCCATAATAGCATTGGGTCTTATATTTAACTGGCAATGTCAGAAATTATTGACCTGAGTCCCCCACAGCTCAACCCAAAATGTTTACATTTTCATGTGTTCACTTAATCTAGTTCTTTTGTGTGTCGCTTGTATTTCTGGTGTCACATCTAAGAAAGCATTTACTACTCCAGGTTTGGAAAGATGGGGTCTAGCTTCATGTTGCTGCATATGACTATGTAGTTATCTCTGCCCCATGCATGGAAACACAGTACTTTCTTCTATCTGCCTGTTCTGTGAATGTCCCTCACTGTGATACTCTCTCCCTGGTGAAGTGACCACATGGAGTCTTGCTGAGACTTGCTAGTGCCTGCGAGCAGCACCATTCGTAATATAAATAGTTGGGGAATTTCATGCAATATCTTATTTTAGTTCTCAGGCTCGTTTATTTTGGAGTGATAAGAAGTGGCTTAACACTCATAATTTTTAAATCCTTGGATAAAGAGAGACAGAACAGACACATGGCTATTAGTCTGTAGTTTTTTCTTATCCAAGACTTTGGGAAAGAATTAAGCTCTCATGCCCTTAGCAGCCATTGTATATATTAAGCTAACCTTTCTTTTATGCATCTAGAGTGGTAGTTGCTATGTATATTCTTTGGGAAAATTGATAAAAGAGTCACAAGTCATTTTCTGTAGCATTTAATTCTCTAATAGAACACTGACTGAGAAAGGCTAAAAATAGTAAACCACCTTCAAGTTAGTCATCAACATTTTGGGAAATTAACATCAGACTTGAACCATTACAAGAAACGAGTTTGGCTTTAGGTATTTACATTGTCTACTCCATTTATCACAAAGAAAGTAATAAAAAAAGTTTTCCAAGTGAACATCTGAGTGAAGGTTATAAGTAATAAACACATTTCAGATTTTGTCACTATTAATATGGACAAAAATAGATTGTTCTTAGGATTAGGCTTAGATATTAAAAAAAGTTACCTATTACCTTGGTCTTAACCATCCAGCAGAAAAGTATAAAAACGATATATAAGAAGTAAAGCCATGGTGTTATGTTGAGCTGTAGGGGACTCAGGTCAACAATTTCTGACATTGCCAGTCAAGCGGAAGACCCAATACTATTATGGACTACTGAACTCTTTTAGAATATTTTGCTGAGTTAACACACCTATAATATTCAAATAACGGAACTTAACAAAAAAAGGGGATACAGATGAATGTCCATTTTGTATCTGGGTATTCAAAGTGGTTAGGATAGATATATAGTTACATTCTCTTAATGAATAGAGGGATTTGTTCTAATGGTGTTTGTAAATAGTATATCATATCCGCATCTTGTATAGCAATTAACCACTAGGAAGAATGTATACAATGTGTTAATTATTGAAACTGTCCTACCAATTTGATTTGAAACTGTTTCATTGCTATTTGTTTCTCAATAAAATTATGGAAAAAAATAAGTATTGTGCAATAGTTAAAAAAAGTTACCTATTCTAATAGTTGTTTAGCACTCACTCATTGTGGTCTTAATTTGCATTTCCCTTGTGAAATTGAATATCTTTTCTTGTGCATATTTGCCATCATATATCCTTTTACCTGACATGTCTCTTTCTTTCTGTCTGTCCTTTTTTTTGTGGTACTGGGGATTAAACTTAGGACCTTGTGCTTGCCAGGAAAGCACTTACTCTACTGAGCTATCTCCCTGTCCCTGCCATGTCTCTTTCTATCCTTTGCTGATTTTATGATTTGTTTTGAGTTTTGAAAGTTCTTTATTCTGAATACTGAATACAAAACAGTTGCTAGATCTTGTTTTTTACATATCTTCTACTCTGAAGCTTGTCTCAGTTTGGGGAGAGTTAATAGCCTTACTGTGTCAAGTCTTCTAATCCACGAACATGTTTCTGGATTTGTTTGGGTCCTTTTTGATTTCTTTTATTAGAATTGTATTATGGTTTTTTAAACATGGAACTTCCATACATGTTTTGTTATATTTATGCCTAAGCATATAATTTTGAGTCTTTGTAAATTCTGTCACACCATTTTGGTTTCAGTGTGTCCATTGTTAGAGTATAGAAATACTATTTATTTATTTATTTTTAATCTTTATGTATTTGATACGGAGTCTTGCTACACAGCTCAGACTTGTAGTGATCCTTCTGTCGCAGCCTGCCCGGCTCTGGAATTACAGGCACGTGACACCATGCTAGGTTTTGGTAGCCAGCTTGGTGTGGAGCCAGCTTGGCATGTGGTACCAGGGATTGAACCCCAGTCTTTGTGCTTGCCAGGCAGGCACTGAGACTGCTGAGCTATCTCCCTAGTCCTGAATTTTTTTACTATTGAATTTTTATGTTAATTTTCTCTCTTGCAAATTCACTTATATCCCTGATTAAATAATTTATTAGTTCTAGGTGGTGGTGATGGTGGTGGGGTATGTGTGTGTGTGAGTGTGTGTGTGTGTGTGTGTGTGTGTGTGTAAATTCCTTTGAATTTTCTGCATAGAATATCATGTCTCCTGTAAATAAGGACAATCTCTCTCTCTGTCTCTCTGTCTCTCTCTCTCCCTCTCCCTCTCTCTCTCTGTCTCTCTGTCTCTGTCTCTGTCTCTCTCTGATTTCTCTTCTTACTATGCTAGCTAGAACTTCTAGCACTATATTGAATAAGTGTTGAGTGCAAAGGGAAAATATTTTCCTTTTCATTAAGTAGGATATTATTATTTTTCTGGAGATGTTCTAATCAAGATGAGAAAGTTCCCTTTAGTCATCATTTTCTGAGAGACTTATCATAAATGAGTTTTGAGTTAAGTGCTTTTACTCCATCAATTCATATGGTCATGTGTTTTTGCTTCTTTAGCTAGTTAAGATGATGGATCCTAGTACAGTGTATACATGTGCTCAACAGCACATGGTACACATAAGTATTTACAAGTTTATATTAGGAATGAATTAAAGCAAATTTTAAAAGATGGTAGACTATATTGATTAATTTTAAATGTTATATATCTAGTTAACATTTTTTAATGATTTTTCCAGTTATATTCATAAAGCTATTGTGTCTAACTTCCTTTTGTATTGTCTTTGTCAAATTATGGTATCAGAGGAAAATTAACCTCATTAAATGAGTTGGGAAGTGCTCTCTTCTATTTTATGGGTTTGATTATGTAGGATTGGTATTTTTTCTTTTTTAAAAAATTGACACAGTTGTCCATGAAATTGCCTGGGCCCACAGATTATTTTGGAAGTGTTTAAAAGAAGACAAATTTTTATAAAATTTTACAATTTCATAATGTTTTTAAAATAAATATGAAATACCTGGCAGCTCTGTTAGTTTGTAGTTTTTAAGGAATTTGATCATCTAATTTTCCAATTTCAGAAAACTCAAGAGGAGAAGAGAAAGTCATATTACATTTATTGTTTTTGTTCTTCTTTCCTCCTGTGCCAAGATTCCTCTATTACTTCTCTTCTTTGTTTTGAGACTTTCCTTTAACCATTGTTTTAGTGTACATCTACTGGCACTATATTCCTATAGTCTGTCTTCATCTGAAAAATATCTTGATTTGCCTTTAATTCCTGAGAATATTTTTATTGGATATGGGATTCAAGGTTGGTAGATTTTTTCTCACACTTGAAAAATACATCAGCTTCTTTTGGGCATCATAGTATTCAATTAGCAATCTAATGTCATTTGAGTAGTTTGCTTCTATAGGTAGGGTGTCAATTCTCTTAATACGTTCAAGAACCTTTTCTTAATTGTCAAAAGTTTGCTTGTAATTTAGCCTATCTGTATTTTTTTTCCATTTTCTTGAATTTATAAGCTTACATCTTTTGCCAACTTTGGGGATTTTTTAGCTATTATTTCTTCAAATGCATTTTTAGCTCTGTCCCTTCTCTTCTAGATCTCCAGTGAAACAAATACTACATCTCATATTTCTACAGGTCCCAGTCAGTTTTCTCTCTGATGTTCAGACTGTGTAATTCCTATTTTCCAGATCACTGATTTTGTCCTCTCCATTCTATTGAACCCATCAGTTGAGTTTTTAATTGTAGTCATTATATTTTTCAATTTTAAAACATCCAATGGGTTTATTTTGTATAATCTATTTCTTTATTGACATTTTCTACTTTTAGTCCATCCTAGATGTGCTTGTAATTACCCACTGAAGTACTTTTATAATGATTTAATCAAAGTCTAGTTAGATCATTTTATATCTGCACATGTAGGTTGATCTGATAAATAATTTTCTGTTCTATCTTGGGTATATTTAGTACTATGCTATGAAATTGTGGGTCACATTTAAACATTCTGTCTTAACATGCTTTCTCTAACATGGTACTGATGAGGGAAGAAGTGTGTCCTTTTATTCTCCTTGTTAAGGATGGAAGTCCAGTTTTCTTACTTGTCTGTGATTGATAGTTTAGGTTTCCAATAGATGTCCACTGATACCATGCTGGCTAGAAAGGGGCGAGGTGTTTGGTCATTCTTTTTCATGTGCCCTCCACAATGAGATGGGTCTTTTCTACTGGAATATAGTGAAGGTCCCTGTCACTCTACTCAGCATTTTCTGGCACTCCCCTTGTGGGAGACAGATGCCTTATTAGGGTGCCCAAAGAGATGTCTAGGCTTTCCACTTGACTTGGCTATTAAGAATTGGGTTTAGGGGATCATAATTTTTGTAGTGTTTGGTAATTATTTTCTAAAAGTTTTCTCTCTTGCTTAGCTACCTATTTCCAGTACTTTTGCTACATTGAGCAGAATTATGGTCAAATACTGTAAACCAGTGATGGTGAACCTTTTAGAACTTTCAGTGATAACAGGCAGCAGGTCACAGGTGCTTAACACATGTGCCATAGGTTCACCAGCACTGGTATAAATACAGACTGTAATTGGCAAAGTAGAACACTTAGTCATCCAGTTACATCTGTTCTATGAATTTACTACTAGTTAATTTAGATATATGGGTATTAAAACATTTTGTATTTTTCTCAAGTGCCCAGATTTATGCTGTGTGTGTACATGCCCCCTATACTTATGCAAAGCAATAAAGAAATAAGGGTGAGTTCAGTGTGGCTGAATTAATGCAGGATTTTTGTTAAAGAGAATGTTCTTTTATTCTCTTCCTTCAGAGATATCCACAGGAGCCACCTGCAGGTCTTTTAAATGTCATTAATGCTCACAAAGAAAAGGCATTCCAGTCAATAAGGCTTGTCAGAAGAAATACTTATTAAAATGTCTTCAAATAAATGGAACATAAATGCTTGAGAAAACCCAATTCCGTTTTTATTCAAGTTATAAAATGAGAATTACTTTAGGTGTAAATAATTCATCCAGATAAATTTGTTTCATTTGGTGTATGTCTCCCTACATGCCCTTCATGCATGTGAGATTTTAGTTTTGGAACCTTGTAATGTTAACCCTTGTTAATTTAGCATCTCTCATGAATCACAGTTTTGACCTGCAAGAAAGGGTGCCGTTATCTAAGCCCTTCTTCACTGAACTGTTTGTACTTTTCTTTGTAGGCAGTCTTCCAAACAGAAGAAGGCTATTCAAACTGCTATCCGCAAAAATAAAGAGGCAAATGCAGTTCTGGCCCGATTGAACAGTGAACTCCAACAGCAGCTGAAGGTAAGTGTTGCTCCTGCAATTTGCCAGCCGGGCTTTTCTCTGGCTTTTGTGTTTTGACCATTGGCTGCCAACTCCATTGGTAAGATTTGCCATTGTTCTCAAACTCCTTTTGGAAGGTGCAAAATTAACTGTACTATTCTTCTACTGGTTGGTTCTTGCACACATAGAGGAAGGCTGGTAACTTTAACATAGGGGCCGTATTGCGTATGAGTTAAAAGGGGACAGAAATCACTTACAGAGTCTGTTTGTAGCATTCTTTTTGTCCAAGGCTTCTGAGTAAACATTTTATTTAGATCCTGTCTGAATGATGCTATATTTATTTTTGCAGAGAGGAGGTGGCCTGGATACTGTCTAAGGGTACTACTCCCTGGTACCATCTTACTTTCTCAAGGATGCTAGCCCTATCCTTATCACCTGCTTCTCTTTGTCATTTCTCTCTCCTATAGTTCTGTCCCAGCTCTTTCATCACCAAGCAATACAAATTTAGTAGCTTCAAACAACAAAAATGTATTTTCTCAAATCTCTGGAAGCTAGAAGTATGAAATTGAGGTGTTGCCAGAGCCAGGCTCTCTTTGAAAGCTCTCACATAGACTGCTTCCTTACCTCTTCCCAGCTTCTGGTGAGCCTTGGTATTCCTTGGCCTGTGAACATAGCACTTACATTCTGCCCCTACTGTCACGGTCTTGTCCAAATTCCTCTTCTTATTGTATGCTTCTTACAAGGTCATGCATTATTGGATGAGAGCCCATCCTAGTCTAGAATGACCCCATTTTAACTTGCAGAGATCCTGTTTGCATATAAAGTCACATTTACAGTTGCAGGGGATTAGGACTTGAATATACTTTTTTTTCAAATTTTCTTTTCTTTTTTTAAATTTTTATTTATTTATTTATTTATTTATGTGTGTGTGTGTGTGTGTGTGTGTGTGTGTGGCCAGCTCAGCCCACCAGGGGGCGGGGCTGGCTGGCATGTGGTGCTGGGGGATTGAACCGCAGTCCCTGTGCTTTGCTAAGCTTGTTCCAAGTAGGTGCTTTAGACCACTGAGACATCTCACCAGCCCCAGGACTTGAATATACTTTTGATGGGATAAGGTTTTCTCTACCAGATCATTACCTATTCACACAAATATTCTCTAGTAAACTACCCATTGCCCTTGGCCATTATAGATTCTTTGTGCTGGTCCCCATTCATGATGCAATTTTTAAGGAATTCTTTTCATTCACTGTCTTTATTTCCTTATCATTGGTTTTCTGTCCCCTCCACTTCAGTGTGGATTTTTTTGTTCTCTGGGTACACCCCTGTTATGGCAAAATCTGATGGATTTTTTAATGTTATTTAAATTTTCAAAAGAATCTGTGTAACTGCCCATTTCCTCCTCTGTAATCACTTTTATAATCGGCTTTTCTGGTTTTTCTTCTGTTTTACTGGTGGTTCCTCCTTAATATTCTGTTATCTCTTCCTTTCCTTTTATATATGCCCATAATTACCAAAATACTTCATTATGAAAATTTTCAAATGTACCGGAAAGCTGAATCATATAATGAATATTTGGGTAGCCACTACTTTGGTCCTACTGCTAACGTTTTACTATATCCTACTTGTAGTGGCCCTACTGCTAATGCTTTACTATATTCTACTTGTAGAATATAGTATTATTTACCCTTTTGTGTTTCTCCTATCCATCAGTTCATTTTATTTTTATATATATTCAAGTAAATGGCACAATCTATATACTTACATGCCTATTTCAGCCTGCATATCATTAAGTTGAATTCATTATGTTTTACGTGTTTTCATGAAGATATGAAATTGACATCCACTGAATGTACAAAACTAGGGCAAACATTTGCTGAGATTGCAACAAATGTACATAGCTATGGGACTGAAGTTCCAGATCAAGTTAGAGAACATTACTTTCACTTTAGGAAGCATCTCATGTTCCCTCACAGTCAATGAAGAAACCCCTTTCTACCCCATCCTCAGCAGAGGCAACGGCTATTCTGAATTTTTTATATCATAGTTTCACCTATTGGATAGCCATGTGCGTGGGATACTACAACATACACTTTTGTATAAAGCTTCTTTCACTCAGGATTACATTTTTGATGTTTGTTTGCATTGTTTTGTGTTTTAATAGTTCATTCCTTTTTTTTTCTAAGTCGTATATTGTTGAGTGAATGTGCCTCAATTTCCTTATCAGTTATGTTGATAGACTCTTCAGCTATTTTCAGTTTCAGGCAGTTTTGAATAAAACTGTGTTCTAGAGCTAAATTTTGTGTGGAAATATGTTAATATTTCTCTTGAGTAAATACCAACTATTGGGGTTAGTTGGTAATATGGTAAGTGTATGTGATCAGTTTTATGAGAAACTGTCAGCCCTTTTTCTAATTTGCTTATAGCATTTTATATTCCCATCACTAATATATGAGTGTTCCAGTTATCCTACATCATTGCCAGCATTGGATGTTATTATTATTTTTTTTTTTGGCCTGCCTTGGGGTGATACAGTTTTATCATCTCCTTGATAATTATGTTGATTGTTTTCTATGTGATTATTTATCTTTCATATATCTTATTTTATGAGGCATCTTTTCAAATACTTTGACCAGTTTTTTAGTTCAGTCTGTAGCCTTTGTTTTGTTGTTGAGTTGTAGGTAGATGATTTTATATGTCTTAGTTAGCAGTCATATATCAGGTAATGTTTGGTAAATGTTGTCTTACAGTCTTTTTTGCTTACAGATTTTCTTACTTTTTTATTTATTTGGTGCAGAGTCTCACTATGCAGCTTGGACTCTTAGCAATCCTCCTGTTTTCAGCCTCCCCAGCACTGGGATTACAGGTGTGTGCCACCATGCTTGGTCTTGGTGGCCACCCCAGGGGCAAGGCTGGCATGGCATGTGGTGCTGGGGATTGAACTCCAGTCCCTGTGCTTGCCTAAGCAGGTGCTTAGTCAGCTGAGCTATCTCTCCATCCCTTTCATTTTCTTAACTGTATCTTTTCATACGCAGTTGTTTTTTTCTTTTCAGTACTGGGATTAAATCAAAGGCTTCACTCATACTAGGCAAGTGTTCACCCACTTGGCTATATCCCTAGTATAAGCTGAAGTTTTAAATCTTGATAAAGTCTAATTTTGCATTTTTTTTCTTTTCTAGCTATTGCTTTTTTATGTATAAGGAAACTTTGCCTATCTCCAAATTATGAAAATATTCTCATGTTTTCTTCTAACAGCTATATGGTTTTACCCTTTGCACTTAGGTTATTATCCATCTTGTTTTAAATTTTGGTTTTTTAATTATTCGTAATTTGATTTTGTTTTACTGGAAAGCTGAAATCAGTTGATAGAGAAGGGAAAGAAAATGTTTGTTGAATTATATTAATCAAGATTATTATGTAAGGTAGTGCTTCATAAATAAACACAAAATCCTGTAAAAACATTAGGAAAAATAGTTGGGGGATTGTACATGTAGGAATTTAGATTATTGATTAAAGTCTTACATGAAGGGAAACTTTAATTAGCATAGAACAATGAAGAAGTATGATGTAATTCTACTACTTTCATTTATTTTGTTTTGTTTTATGTTTCCAAAATTGCTTCCTCCAGACTGCTAATTTATCACATGTATTTAAAGATGTTTGGCTCACATCCTTCCTCTTTTCCCTTAGATATTTATCTTTTACTTTATCTCTTACAAGTCTTATCATTTACATTAATACTTAATACCATTAATTCATCTCTAAACAGAAGAGAAAAATTGTCAAAGGTCTAGAGTTGTTTTAAATTTTGTGTATGATGTAAGTTAGTTAAACTGGGAATGGTGGTATATACACATACTTCTAGCACCGTGAGAGAATGAGGCAAAATATTGTGAGTATGAGCCTGGCCTTGATAAATTAGTGATTTAGTGAGAACCTGTCTCAAAATAAAAAATAAAAGCAAGAGCAGGCATCTAGTTTATCTGGGTTTAACTCTGAGTACCACCAAAAAAAATTGGTATCATTTGTTGAAAAGATTTTCCTTTTCCATTTGGAAGGCTTTGATGCCTTTATAAAAAAAATCTAATGCAGTGAAAATTAATTTCTGAGTTCTTAGTCTATTCATTAAATCTATTTTTTAAATATATTTAGTATAGGCTTTACAGGGTCTCACTCCACATATTGGACTTGTAGTGATCCTCCTATTTTCAGCCTCCCAACTGCTGGGATTACAGGTGCGTGCCACCAGACCCAGTCTCAGTTTTCTCTCAGTGTGCCCCAGGGGTGGGGCTAGCACAGCATGCTAAGGATCAAACCCTAGTCCCTGTGTCTGCCTAAGCAGGCACTTTAATCCACTGATCTATCTGGCCAGTTCTAGTAAATCTATTTGTTGATCCTTATGTCAGTAACACACACTTGGTTATTATTGAATCATACTTAAGCTTGAAATCAAGTAATATATATTTTTCAACCTATTATGATTAAAAGTTTCACTGTATACTTTATGCTCTTATTTCATGTACCTTTTAGAATTTTTGTGTCAATTTCTATAAAATAGAAACTGCTTGGATTATGACTAGATTTGCATTGAATCTACAGATAAATTTAGGGAGAATCAACATATAGATAGTGTTGAGTTTATTAACTTGAAAGAAGAGTAATCTCTATAACAATTTAGGTCTCCTAAAATTCCTCTGAGGAGCTCTGAGTTTGGAATATGTATGTCTTACATATCTTTTACCAGTTTTTCCAATTTTTTGTGACATTATTCCAAGTTGGATTGTTTTTTAGAATTTGCTTTTCTAATTGAGTTTATGAAGGTCACAGAATATAAGATCAACACATAAAAGTCAGTCATATTCCTGTATACAAGCCATGAACATTTGGTAATGGAAATTTTTTTAAAAGTACAATTTCGCAATAGCTTGCTTCCTCCCATATAAGAAATTCTTGGTAAAAATCTATCAAAATGCATACAGTACAGAATTTTTTCTAAAAATTATGAAATGCTGCTAAATGAAATTGAA